CAAACAGTGCAAAACATGAGATGTAATGATGGGTTTAAAATGAAAACTAGTAATTTAATGTTTTATTATATGTATGTGTGCTAACGTAATTTTTATGGTATTTAATAACCAGGATGATACCTGACATTTAAACCTAAAGTGAGAGTGTAAAAAAAAGGTTAGTTTTAAATATGTTCTTGGCCCATAAATGGCATCACTGGGATATATACTTCTATGACTGTGCATATCCAATAAATACTCACTCGTGTTCCGAACTTCCAACAGGCATGTTGTGTTATTTATTCTCATGCTTGCTAAGTAACCACTCTCTGCTATATCGAGTTTACTGATAATTAGAGATAAAGTGAACTTTATACGGCCCCTCCTGCCCACTGCCTTGGTGTTTGATCCCAGGTCAAACTATCAGCCTTCAGTCATCTTACCCGAGGTCATTGATGGGATGAAGAAACATGAGATGCTGGATTGTGATATGAAACTGAATCAAGAAGAGAATTGTTTTTACACTGAACACAAAGGAAGAGTTCAGAGAAATTACAAAGAGACCTTCAAAAACTTTACTTTCTTGTTAGACCTTTCTCACTTTAATGAAGATATGAATGACAGTTAAATTATAATCAATTACATGCCCAGAACAAATTAAACATTTTTAAACTGCTAACTAGGACAAAGTAGGGCTGCAGAGATGTTCTGACAACTGCCTATAAAACATATGTTAGACAACTTTTGGACTATTTATGAAAAGTGGCAGAAACCCCACCCTTAAAAAGCTTGACAAGGTTCAGAACAAAGGCCTACAATCAGCAGTGCTTTTTAGACTCCAATAAGCACAAGGAGTACAAATGAACACCAAGCCTCTTGAAATGAGAAGTGACAAGATCACACTTAAATTCTGGGAAATGTCAAGATGCATTAATTAAATACACAGGGACAGTTACTAACCAACTAGTGCCAGATTCAAGATTCAAATGTCCCCCACACTACATGGTGAATGGTTAAAAATGAAGTAAAGGTTTAACATGAGCATATCAGAACCTCTCAAACATCATCGAGTTGTCTTCCCAGCATTACCTATGAAACATATTCCCTCTTAAAGCAGACAGCACCTAAGTATATAGCAATCCCTGAAAAAACTTAAAAACTCGGCTCTTGAAACAATCCATAAGAGGTATCCTGAAGAAGAATGGCTACACGTCTATATTAATTGATCCAGTCTAAGCAGCTCAGGAATGGGAGTTCATAGTAAACTCTTTGAATGCTGTGCCAGAGTCAGTCCAAATAACAGCAATTATGATGGGGAGATCATGGCAATCCACATGGTGGCTGAAGAAATAAGAAAACAGCAGGGCAAAATAAGTGTATGATGTGTTCCTCATTGATTTGCAAATAGCCATCATCACTCTTGTAAGCTACACACTCATTAACTGCACTAGGACCCACAATGAACATGCAATCCTTGCCAAACTTATCACTGATAGTGGGATCTTCCATTTACAATGGATTTCAAGTCATGCTGGTGTCCATGAGAATGAATTAGCTGATGAGTTAACTAAGAGTGGAACAACCCACTGCCAACTGGACATGCTAATCTACCTATCATTGGCCAAACACATCATTGAAGCCTCAGTTAAAAGCAAAATCAAGAGCTCAAGAGAAGAAGCGTGTTGAGGAAAGAAATGGTAGAGCCTTTTTTTTCAAAAGGTCCCATTCCAAGGACTCTACCCAGACCAGGCTACGTGGCAAAATTCAGACTGCACATGGGGCATGACTATCTCCAAGCCCACCTGCACTGCTTTGGTTTAGCAGAAAATGCCACATGCCCATTCTATCATGATGGAAAGCATCTGTGAAACTGCAGTGAGTTTGGTAACACACTGACTGGTTATGAGACGAGTTTTTCTAGGCATGAATTTGTTAAGAGGCACTTAAGAACTAAAATGAGTAATAAACATTACAGTAGTTACAACAGAGCAATTGGACAAATGAAACAAACTTCTAGGATATCAGCAACAATTTTGCTAATAAAAGAAACAAAGTAGATGTTATGTCCAGTATTTTAAAGCAATATCAAAATGCATATCAAAACAGATGTTATGTTCAATATTTTAAAATGCTGGAACTAAAGTTTTATTTCAAAAATTAAAACAGAGCTTTTTTATTTATGTTATTTTGTCGTTTTAGATTTGATTTTTTAATAGGCATTGAGGGGAACAGCAAATGCTACTGGGTTAAGGATATCTTTTAAACAAATGAAACCTGATTATCTTTGTCTATACTTATGGTTAGAGCTTCACAGATGAGTTTAATACCCAATTCAAGTCATGGCATTTGATAAGCTACTGCAAGGGTTCTCAACTGGTGGTACATGTACCACTAGTGATATGCAAGAGAAAAACATATTGTACGCAAAGAAGCAAAGTATTTTTAACGATTAAATTTTAAAATTAAAAACCCAACATCCTGATTAAGTTTTTTCTCTAACACTCATAAATTTATGCAATCCAAACTTTGTTCAAGATTGGTGGTGGTACTAAGGGTTTTCAATTTTTGTTTAGATGGTAAACATTAGTCAAAAGGTTGAGAACCTCTGAGTTAGTGTCAGACAGCGTTTCTCAAACTTTTTTCAAGTAAGAACCCCTTTTATAAACTAGAATATTTTGTTAACCCCTTGTTCCCTTTGAAAGCAATTTTTTTTAAGCATATGTTATTACTGCTATACTTATATTTTAAAAATGGAATTAATTCAAATTCATTTAATTTTATGTTGATATTAAGTAATTAAAGTAACAGAAGAATATTTATATTCATTTTTAATAATTCAAAGTGATTAAACCCTTTTTCACAATGATAAACAAATTGAGTTATAATTTTTAAAGAACAATTGCACAATTAATTAAGTTGTGTTTTCACTGGCAATAAGCCCAGCGAGTCCAGATGAAGGCAATATATGAAGGTGAAAAGCACTGCCGTCATAAAGCTTTAAATCCTTCATCCACTGCTAAGACTAGAGTGGGAAGTCCATAGCTAGGGTAACTAGTAATAAATTTCATAAATGTGTCTTGGGAGAAAAAGTGGCAGATGACTGCCATGTGTATCTTTTAAACTTTAAAATTTTCAGCTACAGAGAGACAAAGTTAATTTGAATTTTTTTGCTTTTTTCTTAATCTACGAGGGCCATAAGGCAGGTTTTGAGAAATGTTGCTGTAAGAGAATGCAGTGGAAATTATTAATTCATAATTTCATAATAAAGGTATTAATCTTGAAGAACAGACTCACTTGGACATAAACTCACTTGATTTTACCATCATGGAATGAAGAATGCTGATTCTATATCAGCCTAAAATTAACGTGAATTTGGATGAAGATAAAAAAATACCACATTTTGGCTGAAACAAAGATCTCTATTACATGAGTAACACAGCTAGTGGCATAATCTTCTGGTAGCTACTTCCATTAGACATCATCATTATTGACAAACTGTACATTTAACACTGAAAAATCTCACTGACAAATTTCTTATGATGTTCATTTTGTACAAGATTGCATGTGCCTGGTCTGAATTTCAAAAGTCTACCTGTCTACATCAACAGACTCCCATATATCTAGTCAGTGATCTGTATCTCAAGACACAGCCCTTATTCTAAGATGTAAAGATGTAAAGTGATGAGTGATCAGCAGACTTCCCCAAGACAGGCAGTTCTGCAGACACAGGATCCAAAATATGCCTCAGCATTGGTGAAAATCATCAGTGAAGATAATGCCTACTTTCTGCAATAATTGACTTCAAGTTTAATACAAAAAATCATCAGAATATACTCACAAGATGGCATAACAAAGGTTTTTCTTATTCAAAGTGATTTTTTGTTCTTTCAAAATCATTACACAAAACTTTTATTCAAATATATTGATACTCAGTTACATATCATACCACACATGTACAAAAAATGACAAAGCGCCACATAAGACATATTTGTGGTTTTATATTCATATGAATTACTTAAATGACATACATCATTTAACAATTGAAATCAATCTTATATTCTTAGAAGTAAATTACATAGAATAAATTACAAGTTACACGAAGTTTTCATCAGTACAGTCAAATACCGAAAATCCGCCGACCTGAAATCCATGTTGCCCCTCAAAATTACCAAATTATTGACATAAAAAAAGTTTAAAAAAATAAGATAAAAGTTTTTAAACTCTAATCTCTGCATCTAGGTCAAAAAGCAGACGATTCACTCAACTCTTTGTTCAAGTTCACCATTCACGTTGTATTTTCTGAGCTTTGTTATTTCACGAGATTGTTTAATGCTGCCTTTTTTTTTATCCTGCCTTTTTTTTATTTTGTGGATAAATTAAGAATATTTTAAATTTCAGCTCTTTTTAATACAATGACAGATAAGAAATGCACTCATGATTTTATTGCTTGCAACGCTGAAAACATAAACACGTTGCATTGATGGTAAGGCAAAAAGTGCAAATTCTGCAAAAGATGGAGGCAGGTGCTATTCCTCGATTTATAGCAGAATAGTATGGAATTGCGACACGATTGTGTATGATATACAAAAAAATAAAGAAAAGCTGTTGAAATTTTACAGCAACAGTGATTCTAACATCGGAATCCGAACCGGAAATCCTTGCATGAGGTGAAATCAGCAAACCTTGATGCTGTGTACATATCATACAATGAATAATATAATCATTTATATATGTAATAATAATTTCATGCATATAATAAATTATTGCAATAACGTATATAATAATTTAATTAAATGTATCTAATACACCTTATTTATTTTGCACTTTTATTCCGAATATTATGCTTTATCTTTTCTGTTCTGAAATCCGCAAAATCCTAAAATCCACACAACCTCTGGTCCCAAGCTTTGCAGATTTCTAGACTTCTACTGTATTATCATAGTATTTTATGCATCATATATTACATAATTTAATTTTGCATGCAGAAAATATTTTCAGAGATTATACAAGAGCTTACATACCTGATAGTCTCACTTCAGAAGTCCCTCCAACAGATTTTGGCCGTGGCTTTGGAGCTATAGGTGGTGGCTTAGATTTTAAACTTGGGGTTAATCTTCCTCCTGGGTCCAGCTGAGGAGAACCTAAAATTTGTAGATGCAAATATTAAAATATTTATGATCAGGTTTACAGCTGCACATTATATTTGCTATGCAATATTTGTTAAGTCAGTGCTTAAATTGCGCCAGAGCCCGGCTCCAGTACTTCTAAATTTTTAAGATAAATTACAATTTTAGCCAAAGTGCACTGGAGTTGTAAATAAGATGAGCTCCGGTACTTTTTTGTTATAAAATGAACCATAATTTAAAAGGGGAAAAAATTAGAAGTCCTAACAATTTAGTTTAACAATAAGTAGACCTTGCAATACTCTATTTCCCTAGAAATACGAACTCATGAGTACATAAGACATTCAAATAAAGTTTTCTCGCTCACATGCGGAAACCTTTCCCTTTAAGAAGGGCAATAAATTTGTGGGAGTTTGTTTAGGAATGCTTAAATTTCTAGCCATGCCATCATATCCAGTGTATTGTTATCGATGTTTACAGTTAGTTATCCTCCCAGGAAGGAAAATTTGTGTTCTTAAATGTGCGTTAAGTGACAGCGAGTACAATAAGAGGGAAATACTGAGATAAACTGCTCAAGCACGTCCTATACATTGCCTTCCCACAGTATCCACTAATGGGAGGGGGAAGCGTAAACAGCAGTTTTACATTCATCCTTAGGAGTCAGATTCAGAACTCATTTTACCCCTGACACACATCTGCTTGGTGGCTATAATTATATCAGCAGAGAGCCACGGTCAAGGAGAACGTTATCTCTCACCAAAATTCCCTTCATTTTTTGTTTCCACCCACTCATACCCTCATTCTGTTTTGCCCTGGAATTTTCATCAGCTATACTTCAAGTATATTTAATTTTTGTGATGATAAAAGAAGTTCACCCCCCTACGATCACTTCACTGGGCCGGAAGCCCACCGGATCTCAGCTCCGGTGCTTCTTAGTTTTTGTAATAAATCATAATTCTAGCCTGAACGCACCGGAACCCTGAATAAGAAGGCTGTGGCACTTCTTTTATGTAACTGAATAACAATTTCAGTAGAAATTTGATCTCTAAAATTTTATTTTAACAATAAGATTATATTAAAAATCGCTTATTGAATTTCAATTTATCTCTTTACATTTTATTTAATTTTAATTACTTAATTATTTCATTAAATAATAATTAATTATCTAATAATTATCAATTAAGTTATAATTAATCATATAATAATTATTGATTAAATAACAATTTATAAACATTAATTATTATAAACATTAATCAATATATAAACATTAATTAATTAAATAGCTGTTAATTAATTTGTTAGTAATTAACTATTTTAAAATTATTAAGGATTTTAATAGTCATTTTATTTATTTATTGACTCTTGTTCCTCTTTGCTGACGGTCTTCCATAGGCACTTCCTCTGGCACTTCTAATCTTAGAAATTAAGCCCTGGTTAAAGTGACAATAATTAAAAATCAATGATTTCAACTTAAAAATTTTTTTAAACATTATTTGCAAACATAAAAAAATTATCTTTTATTTCTGGAAGATTTTTTTAATATGCATCAATAACAGTAACATCTAATAAATTATTAAACTGAAAAATAATTTGTCACACAAAAATTTCAGAATAACAGTTAATAAGTTCTAAATTTTTACTTAAAATTTATTATGTACTTGTAGATAGTGAAATTAGAAAAACACTATTCTGATATTTGGAATATTCTTTGAAGAAAAATTTTCTTTCTCTTACATAACACTGATACAAATATAAAATTACTAATTCAATTCAAATTTCAGAACTTAATAATAAAAATATTTTGACTTAAGATTTACAGTAATAACAGCAATAGAATAATTATTATAAATTACATAATTTGTTTTACACATTGTTTACAAATCAGTGCTTCTCAATCTGAGATCCACAAAGCTGTCCTTGATTTCAGAAAATGACAACAACAACACAAAAAAAAAAAAAAAAAAATTAATTCTCCCCTCAGACCAATATTTTATGAAATTTATTAATGGTGATCCTTATCTATGGTATACCACTCTAGTCTTAGCAACAAAAGAGGGGTTTAAAGCAATATGACTGTGATGCTTTTCATCATCAGTTCGCTGCAAAACTGGTGCCTCTTGGTTCATTACAAGTAAAAATAGAGTACAGTGAACTATACAATTGTGCGTTAAAAATCATAATTCAGTCTGCATTCATGACTATGTGAGAAAGGGTTTTCATAACTAATTCAATTAAAAACAAAATACTGAAATAGATTTAATGTGTATGTGTATCACAGAATTAAGCTTGCCAGCGTGCATCCAAATGCAGAATTGACACACACATTCATCTCATTAATATGGGTACCAAAACTTATTCAAATTTTAATTAATAAGATAAAGATTATCTTAACTCTAATATCTTTGATTGAATTATTAAAAAAAGCACACAAATTTTTTCTATTAATAAATTAAAATATCGATATACAATTAAATGAATTTTTTAAAAAATATAAGTATACTGATACATGTGCTAAAATTGCTTTAAAGATGATGAGAATAAGGTAGTCTGAAGAATATTCTAATTTATAATAGTGGCTCCCATTTAAAAAAAAAAAAAGGTTGAGAAATGCAGTTATAAACCATACAGGCTTTTGTTAGCTACCATGATTCTTTAATTTATTTTTGGTGCAAAGTTCACCAGAACACGTATTACAAGAAATTAACCCTGCTAATGATATATTTTGTTATATTATCCACAGAAATTTGTAAACCAATAAAAGTGTAAGATAGAGGCATTCAGGCCCTGTCCGAAGCATAAGCTATGTATTCAACTAACTAAATTACTAATCTGCAGAGGGTTAAGTTATTCAATATAAGCAGTAACAAAAGAAAAGTTATTTGCTTTGAATTATTGAAATAGCATGAAAAGTATTATTCTGTCAAATTATAAAAACAAATTTAAACACATACCAGGTGAGGATGTGATAACTGAAGTAGTTGAAGCATGTACATTTGACTCTTCTGTAGCTGTGGAATCAGTTGGCGACTTCAATGTTTGACTTAAACCTGTAGGTTTTAATTTCACACTCTGTAAAACAGACATTGCTTCTGATAGACTTTTTTCTTCAGCTGCCTAAAATATATTGTAAAACGCATTTATAATTCCAGAACAACATTTAAAAAAATCTTTTAGCATAAAATTAAAAATGTTAAGATATTTTATTTCATAAAATAACATGCTTTAGATAGCAAATGATATAAGAAGATGGTTCTAAAGAAAATAGTACATTAAAATTATAAGAGAGTTGCCAAGAAATAATAATATTAATAAAAAAAAATCTGAAAGCTTTCAGATTTTACATTATGCCTAAAGGGACTTCTTTTAACATTTTGTCTGTTGCCTTTATTTATTAAATATCATGTTCTTCGCACTTAAACCATAAAATTCAATTCAACATTCAATTCCCAAAATAATTTTAAAATAAACATATCTTTAGAGTTTTCGATGTGCAGTCTCACGTGCTGGAGATAAAAATGTATCCCCCCCTCATACAGTGTTGCTATTGCTTTGTAATCATTGAGTTTGTTAATCAAAAATTCGTTAAGTTTTACAAAATATGAAATAGATAAAACAAATTCTAAATCTGGGCTTTCAGATGCTCATATTCCGGTGGAAATGTACGTTATTCAAAATTTGATGGCTCTAGGTACCGTTGTTTTATCACAATGTAAGAAACATACATACACTTATGCAGATTCTTCATTATTTAATTTCTTTAAATGTAATGCAGGGCTCTAATATTTGGTGGCAACAATTAGAAAAGTGAACCAACATTTATAGTGAACCAATGCAAAATGCGAAAACAAAATTAATAGTCCTTCTGGGCAAATTGCCCCTTTGGATTAATAATAAATTAAAACTTCAGATTTTAATATTTATGAGAAAAATATGTTTATATAGTTACAAATTTAACACATTCACTGCCATCTACAAGAACACTTGCTACTGATCACCTTTAAATCACCTAAAATGAGTACTGTCACAGCAAATGCATACAATATTTAGATGTTTCACATAAGAAAGGTACTAAATAATACACTTGCCTTCCTGAAATGGATCATTTATTTTTCAAAACGTAAATATAAAATATAAATTTTAAAAGGGATTTTTTTTTTTAAGATTCACTTAGAAAACATAAACATACTGCTCAAATTCTAGTTCACTGACTTGTGTGAGACTAATGGAAAATTATATATTGCACATGCAGTTGTTTGTGAATGCACAGAACAGGCGAGACTTGTTTATGAAGTTATCTTGTAATTCCACAAGCATCAAAAATATTATTTCATATGACAACTACAAATATATTCGCATGAATTTATTTGTACTCACAGAATTTGCTAAAAATAATCAGTTGTATCTATATTTAAATAATAAAACAGAAGAAAGTAATTTCAAAACATAAAGATGCAGACAGGATTTTGGCATGTGTGAGCGGGCGCACTACATTAGCTTTGACAGCGAACATTTTAATTAAATTTTATGTGAAAACAACATGTCATGCCTTAGAAAGAAAAATGCAAAAATATTTATTTGTAACCTACACTTCCATCTACAAAGAGAATACTCAAACTATTCTATGCATTTCATTTACTTACATTTTGATAGAATAAAAATTAGAATGGAGCTTTAATAGACAACTTTAATGCGATTTGATTTAAGAATAACAGATTAGAAATTGAATCCTAAATACTTATATAAACACAAGTTTTCGCTTAATAAGAGTCTTCATATAAAAATGCAGCTGATCAATAGCAAGATAAAAAGACACAACGGGTTGGGGGGAAAGATAGAAATTTTAATTCTTCTAAAAATCAGCTGCTTATGATGGCATCAAGATGAAACAAGTTTCTAGTTTCTTGCTTCAGCTTCTCTATTTCTTGTTCCTGGTATTATACCTGACAGCCATAAACAGGTTTATTAAAAATTATGCATTGTTTGCATTTGAACAGACAGTCATGGTTTTTAACATGTAGTTACAGTGTGAAAGCACTTAAGATATTTGCCATGTAAGAGAGGAAGATGCCTCTAAAACTATACAGCAGATATGTAATTGAATTTTGTGTTAAACCTGGGATGAGCCATGATGAAACACTTGAAATATTAGAATATGTTATAAAGTAATAAAACACTAACTGTGCTTCCGTATTTCAGGGCATTAACATGTAATTGATAAAGATCTTTTTAGCTGGATATACACTGCTCTTACAGATGCAAACACTACATACCAATGGAAAAACAATGAACAATAATTATTATGCAAAAATCCTGAAAGCCATTTATCTAGAGCCATGAAAAAGAAAAGTGAACCAACATTTATAGTGAACCAATGCAAAATGCGAAAACAAAATTAATAGTCCTTCTGGGCAAATTGCCCCTTTGGATTAATAATAAATTAAAACTTCAGATTTTAATATTTATGAGAAAAATATGTTTATATAGTTATATAGTTTTGTTCAAGAAATAGTAACTTTTGTGTCACAACAATACTGTGACATTGGCAGCACAGCTTAAAATCATCTTTCAAAACTAGGATATCCAACAAATATAGCCTAGACCTTAGTGATACACAATTCATCATCCGAGAATTAACAACATTTCAAAGGCAACTATGAAGGGGAAGGAATTCTTAATGTGAGAAAGCAATAAATACCATACCTAAAATGCCTGAAGTACTTAAAAAAAAAAAAAAATACAAATCAGCCTATTTCCCATTTTTGAAACTTTCTTAAAATTCTATGAAAAGTGTAATTCAATGTGAAGGACTCATATTTGAAAAAAAAAAAAAAAAAAAAAAAAAAAAAAATCTGATGCGGACACCACGTGACTTCCTTGTACGGAATATTAAAATATACACATTTTTTGCCGCGTTTCATTTAAGATAATTTCCTCAAATTTCATTAGAGATATTCTCCTTCAATTAACCCCTTAACTGGTTTGCCCGTACAGTGTACGGGCTACTGATCATTGGGCACATCTGGTTTGTCCGTACGGTGTACGTGCATCGATATTTCCCCCTTTCTTATTTTGATTTGCCCGTATTTTTAATATATTGAAAGAGAGGCTTTAGTATTAGAAGATTTCAATAGATGGCGTAGCTTGTCCATACTATTTAAAATGATTCTAACCAGTTTTTTCTTTTATTACAAGAAGTCGAAAATATTTTGCATTCTTGGTTCTTGAAAGTTTTGCTACACGGTTTTTTGGTTGTGAATTCAAAGCTCTTTAGTTATGGATGATACAATAGATGATGATACTCTATTGTTAGATGCTTCTGATGATTCGGATACAAATTCAGAACTGTCTTGTAATGTTCTGGATAATTCTTCAGATGACACGTGTAGTGAGATCAGCTCCGATGAAGACTTGACTTCTGCTAGAAATTTTATTGAAATTGATGTAGAAAACTCGCCTCTTCCGTGTCCGCAGGTTCAATTTTACTGGTGTTCCAGCAGTAAATATACAGATTGATGATACTTCTGATGAACTACAATTTTATGAAGCATTTATTGATTCTTCTCTTGATGAATAAAATTGTGGAAGAAACAAACAGATATGCGACACAGGTGCATCCAGTCAAGCACTGCAAAAAAATTCTCAAGAAGTAAATTTCGGGAACAAACAACTCAGGAAGAGATGCATATATTTTTTGCTCTGGTTATACTGAAAGGAATTATAAGGAAGCCCGCAGTTTATCAGTACTGGAGTAAAAGACATTCCACGCCTTTTTTTCCCTAAATAATGACTCATCGTCGATTTCACCTTTTGCAACAATACTTACATTTTTCGGATAATTCAGCATTTGATGCACAAAGTCACGAATGCCCAAAATTAGTGAAATTGTGGCAGGTTTTGAAACATCTGAATGAGAAGTTTCACTCGACGGTGACACCACAACGTGATGTAACTATAGATGAAAGCCTTATGCTTTTCAAAGGAAGATTACGGTGGAAGCAGTATATTCCCCCAAAAAGAGCAAGATTTGGAATAAAATGCTTCATGCTGTGCGAATTCGATTTCTGGTTATGTATGCTCTGTAATAATATACACAGGCAAAAACACGATTCTGAAACCAGAGTTTTCAAATCTATGTATTTCGTCACAAGTTGTTATGACAATGATGCATCCGTTACTGCATAAAGGATATTGTCTTACGACGGATAACTATTATTCGTCGCCAGAATTAGCTGATAAATTAATTTCGTGTCGAACGGATACATATGGCACCCTGAATCTAAAGAGAAAAGAAGTCCCAAAGGAAATGCAAAAGAAAAAACTAAAAAAAAGGAGAAATCATTGCATTTCAGAGAGGAAAAGTTACTGTTATGAAGTGGATGGACAAAAAGAATGTTTCATTACTGTCTACTATTCATAATACTGCAAAGGTAGAAATACAGGTCCGCTCTGAAACGAAACAGAAACCAAAAATTGTTATGGATTACAATAACACAATGGGAGGAGTAGACCGCATGGACCAAAATTTGAAAAATTTTGAAGTCATTAGAAAGAGAGGAAAAAAATATTATAGAAAAATTTTTTCCACATTTTTGATATTGCCATATGGAACTCATATGTCGTATATTGTAAAAAAGGTGGAAAGAAAACTCAGTTACAGTTCAGACTTGATCTTGTTGACAGAATTATCGAGAATACCATTCTGGGATGACTTGCAAATATGGACGACCTGGTTCTGAGCCTAATCCTTTGAGACTGACCGAGAGACACTTCATAGAAGTTATTGCTCCAACAGAGAAAAAACTTAGACCTGCCAGACAATGCGTTGTATGCTGTTCCAGGAGGAATGAAAGTGGAAAGAGAATCCGAAAGGAAACACGGTATTTCTGTCCTGATTGTGATGTAGGACTTTGTCTGACACCGTGTTTTAAATTGTATCACACAAAAAAGGACTACTCAACAATGGTATTGGAAGTATGAATTTTTAACATATGGTAAGTTTTCTTTTCGATTTGCAGTTCGTGAGATCTGTATAATAGGCTTCACTGCATAAACTCTGTGATTACAAAAAGCCAACATGTAGAGGCATTTGTGTTACAAAGTTATAAAATAAAAAA